AAACGGAGATAATGTCTGTGGTACAAAGCAAGTGCTCAATAAGTGGTAGCTATTATTATTGCTAATATCTCACCATCCCCATTTCCTCTCCCCTTAGTCAAAAGATGTCAGTGGCTTCCTACTGAATAGAAGATAAAGTGCAAACTCTTTCCCTGGCCTAGAGGTCTCTGATCTTCCCGTTACTATTCTAGCAAAGCACCCTGCTTGCAGCCCATCGGGCCCCCCTCTGTCCCACAATAAACCCAGTCACGTGGGCAGGGGTCAGGAGACCACTGTCCTGAGCTCTAGCCCTGGTTCTGTGGTTATAGCCTGAGTGATTATGACACGTCAACCTTCAGCCAGGGGCCCCTTTGAGCTTGGCTGCTGCTGAATGTGGTCAGTTTGTTGGTCTTCCTTAGGGGCTCCCCAAGGCCTGTATTGGCCTCCACCTTAACAGGAAACAGGCAAGGAGCCTGCAGAAGGGCCAGAGGTTTGCTTCAGCATGGGGTTTTATCCTATGATGCTAGGATGTCTGATGCCCTCCCTGGAATCTCCCTCTGATGGGCCTGTCCCCATGGTCTCAAGCCCACTCTGGCCTTCACTGTCTCTTAACCGTCATCCTACCTCTGGGAATTCCTGGCATCCTGTTCTCTCTAACCTTGGGCAATAACACCCTTAATGCCCCCTCTCTGGAAGTCCTGGGACAGGCCTGGTGGCCCCACACCATTGCGGGTGTTACAGGCATGACAACATGATTGAATCCACCAAGCCATTTAACAGATTCCATGAGAAGCTTGTAGGGCCCAGGCTTCTAGGCCTAGGGCTAGTTTGCAGGCCTTAGGGTTGATGGGACATGCCCAGGAAAATGGCCTGGGCGGTTGGCGTCTAGGATGGGAGAGCAGAGGCCTAAGAGCTGTTCTGAAAGGACTCCAGGCCATGGGTTAGCATAACTAGATCTTCTGAGTGCTGTGAGTTCAGTCCAGGTCTAACAATAGGACAGCCTGGAGTTCTCACAGCCAGGCTGAGTGATGGCGAGGTGGTGTGACCGGCCCCACTCCACGCTGATGCCATAGGTCAACTAGGGATAAAGTCAGGCTTCCTGCTGTGGCTGCCACCAGGGCCCCTTTACATTGCTGGGCCTTCCAGAAGAGTCTTGCGTTCCCCCCGATCCCTTAAATCTTTTCTCAGGATGTTCTATGGGCAGCAACATCTTTTGGGTTTTGAGTGCAATAGAAATGATGTGACTATTGGCCTGAGGCTTCATAATGGCCCCATGTACCCAAAGGAACACATATTCTCTTGAGGAAAATATCAGACGATGTATATAAACACTGGTAGATGAGACAAGGTGAAAGAATCATGGGCTTGAACCCTGGCGCTGTCATTTCCTGAATGTATTAGTTTCTTACGACTGCTGTAACAAATTACCACAAACTTAGAGGCTTAAAATAACAGAAATTCATTTTCTCACAGTTCTGGTGTCGAGAAGTCCAAAATGCAGGTATCAGCAGGGCCACACTCCCTCCCAAAACTCTGGTGGCTTCTGGTAGCTCCAAGCTTCCTTGCTTTATGGAAGCATCACTCTAATCTCTGCCTCCATCTTTATATGGCCTCCTCTCTGTGTGTCTTTCCTCGGTATGTCTCTTATAAGGACACCTGTCATTAGATTTGCATGCCAGATAATATAAAATGACTTCATCTTGAGAACCTTAACTTGATCAAATCTGCAAAGACCCTTTCCAGATAAAGTTACATTTACACGTTGCAGGGGTTAGGACGTGGATATACCTTATTGGAGGACACCATTCAACCCACTACACTGAGTGGCCTTGGAATTGTCACTTAGCCTCTCTGAGCCTCAATTCCCACATCTACAAAACAGAGATAGTAATTCCTATGTCACAAGGTCATTATGAAAATTAAAGTGAATACATGTGTCACATAATAGATGGTCTCTAAATACATATTTTTAATTATGCAGATTCCAACCCTGTGAAACTGAGTGCTCTGTTACAAATCCCTTGGCCAGGCATACCTCTGTCCATCGCTAGGATGTCTCCCGTTCCCTGCACTGCTCGTCCTCCTGTGCCTCTTTGACTTGTGCTCTCTGCCTGGTTCCTCCTACTCCTAAAACTCCTAGCCCGGTATCTTCCAGAGAACTATAGAAAGCACTCGTTACATAGTTTAATGAAGTCATATCCTCAGGCCAGATTGGCTTTCCCAGAGTCCCCAAGACCATGGAAGAACCAGCAGTTAATATCTAGTCCCTCCACGGTTCACAGGGAAAAGCTTACAAGTCAGAAGACCCAGCTCCTAGAGCCAGCTCTACCACCAACTAGCTGTGTGACCTTAGCCAAACGTCTTAACTTCTCTGAGCCCAAGTTCTTCATCTGAAAACAAAGCCGATGGTGCCTGTCTTATCAGCCTAGCCCAGCCTTGTGCAAAGATTAACTGGGATAATGCGAATGACAGGGACTGTAAAGTGCCCCATGAGTGTTGGGTCTTAATCAGTATTCCCAGCTCAGGCCGAGGGGCATGGTCCCTAATGCCACGCACATGCTCCTATAGAAAAAGGTCAGCTCAGCCTCTCTTCTTTCTCAAGGTGGGCCCCACTTCTAACCCATTACCTAGGTTAAAGCCTGAGGCTGCTCCCTCTCCTGGCAAGGGCTCCCTCCCTCTGCCAGCTCCTCAGCAGTCAGCCTGGCAATGAGTGGAGGCTGTGAAGAATGGAGCCTCATGACCAGGGATGTCGCATCCAGGCACTCAGGCCTGCCTCCCTGTTCGGGGACTCACTGGTACTGTCAGGGTCAACTTGGCTCTGAGGAGAGAGGCCCATTGTGCTGCACTGGGAGGGATGTGGCAGGGACCTCTGGCTCCAAAGCATAAGGAGAAGAGCAAGGAGATGCCGAGGGGCAGAGCACTTTAAGGCCAGCTGACCCGGCTTCCAACCTCCGCTCTTTCACTTTCTAGCTGCAGGACCCTGAGCAAGCTCATAATCCCTCTGAGCCTCCGTGTCCTCATCTGCAAATGGGGACGGTAGTCCTTGCTTGCAGGGCTGGTGAGGACCAGGGGTAATGACTCTGAGGCTGGCATGTGGTACCTGGTAGCTGCCCTGATGAAAAAGGCAAAGGAAAGGAAGCTAACATTTATTAAGCACCTCCTTTTTGCTGGAGGCTGTCCATATGCTTCTCTCATTTAATTTATCCGACTCTGCGCAGAATTAAGGTGGTTCCAGAGTGCAAGGTCAGGCATGTGAAGTGACTAGTGACAGCTAGTAGGAGAGATGAAGTCTTTGTCTGACTCCACTCTGGTCGAGCCCTAAAGCTGGAGCTGAGGCCACTGTTCCCATCGCCGCTCCTGCCCGTCCCCAGCCAATATGGACCCTGGTCCCCAGAGGGAAAACATCTCATTAAAGAAGGAAAGGGGTTCTACATCAGTCTCAGGGTCCCTTCGTCCCATGAGCATGCAGGCAGAGAAGCTGTTGGCTCATGCCACCCTCCACTGGCACAGTGACCACCGAGGGTTGCTGTATCAATCAGGATTCTACAGAGAGACAGAACCAATAGGAGATGACAGGTAGGTAGGTAGGTAGATAGACATATGTATAGATACATTGAGAGAAATCTATTATGAGGGATTGGCTCAAGCAGTGATGCAGGCTGAGAAGGCCCACAATGAGCCATCTGCAAGCTGAAAGCCCGGGAAAGCTGGTGGTGTTGTTTAGTCAGTCAGAAGGCCTGGGAACCAGGAAGCTCCCATGTATGAGGGCAGAAGATGGCGGTCCCTGCCCAAGCAGAGAACAAATTTGCCCTGTCTCCACCTTTTTGTTATACTCAGGTCCTCAACAGAATGGATGAGGCCCACCTTCACTTGTGAGGGCCATCTTTGCTCAGTCTATTGGCTCAAATTTTAATTTCTTTCAGAGATGTTCTCACAGACGCATGAGACACGATGTTTTACCAGCTACGTGGGCACCTTTAGCCCAGTCAAGTTGACATAAAAGTTAACCATCACGGTGGCCAAGGATCAAGTTGTCCCCCTGACAGCCACTCGTTGCTGGCTATTTCTCACCCCATCAGATAGTAGCCTTCAGTGGAGCCCCATCACCTACCATCCCCCAGACACGCTCCGATCTGCTCGCTTCCTGCAACCCGTTTCACCACCTGCTTCTCCTTCACATTTTCTGGTCCAGCATCAACCAGCTTGAGATCCTCATAGACACAGAGCTTTCTCACCCCTGCCCCTTGTGTGTGCTGTTCTTGGCAGAATGCCCTCTCTACCGTCTCCTAATTCCAACTCATCATTTAAGACTCAGTTCAGGTACTGCTAATACCAGGGGCCCTCCCTGGCTCCCCTGCACAGTCCTTGTGCAGAATATAGACTCCCACCTCTGTGCTCCCACAATAATCCCGCACACCGATTACCATCTCTGCACTAACCACGTTATGATGACATCATTCCTTAGTACTGTCTGTTGTCATTGTCAGAGGTCATCCCACCTGGGATTAAGGAATGCTTAGGACAGTGGTTCTTGGGGGGAAGGGAGTGAGGGCATCTGAAGGGACATTTTGACATCCTGTGTCCAATCTCCTCTCACCCATATCAGAATGGGCTGGTGTAGGGGACAGTTCTGTCTGGGCATAAGGAGAACTTCACAACACAGTTATTTTGGGAGTGTCTCCCAAGTAATTCTGATTTAGGATTAGTCTGTCACCCTAGTCCTTGCTTAGGGCCAGGACAGCGAGCTGTGCAGGGAGACAGACAAATACGCCTTGATCCATACAGTTTGGGGAAACCCATGTCTGCATACTCAGGGGGCTTGAGACTGGAGAGCCAGTTATGAAACTATCATTAGCCCCTGGAAACTGAACTTGATTGGAGTGATGTGGGAGCGGTGGTTGGTGTTTGGGAAAGAGAGTAGGTGTGGAGTTGAGGCACCTCCTGGGGTTCTGTCCCCGCTTGTAGAAAGACCTTCCTTATAGGAATAACCCATCAGCGGTAAAATACTCTCTTTTTCTCAGGTTTGTGACAGTGTCCTGAGCTGGTGACAGACCTAACCTGTGACTTTCAGTTGGATTCAGTCCTCACATTCCAGAAAACATGACCCTCGCTGGTAGGTATAAAACCGTTTACGGGATGGGGGCACCACAGCACAGGGTGTTCTGTACATGCATGCATATATGTACTTCCACATGCACAGAAAAAGATAAAGACAGATGGGAATTACACCCAAGGGTTAAAGTCGGTTAACTCTAGACGGTGGGTGGGATCACAGCGGAGCTCTTCTTCCTTTTGCTCGTGTGTGTGTGTGTGTGTGTGTGTGTGTGTGTGTGTGTGTTTAAAGTTTTTACAAAGCATGTGTATTATTCTTGCAGTTAATTATGTTTTTAATTTGTAAAAGAAAATGAGGGGGAGAGTTCCAGGGTATTAGCTGAGAGAGCCTGAGCATGCCAGGGCTTTAAAAAATGGGTGCTAGCCCTGAGATTGTGGGGGAGGTAGGCCATGCCAGGAGCACAGTGCCAGGGGCTGGGGGTGGGCTAGATGTCAACACATGAGCTCTGATTCATGACCTTCTGGTTTTCAAATCCTCCCCAGACACAGAAAGACTAGACAGTGGTGGCGGTACCGCTCTAGCCCTCGTGGACACCAGCCCCTCTGGCTGCGACCACTGCTCTGGGAAGGTCAGGGAAGGCTCACAGCCTGAGCTCGTCACCCAGGGAAGGGCGAGACCAGAGGGATGGGGGTGAGCTGCTTTTCCCCTCAGGGCAGCACTGCCAAGTGCTTTGAGTAAAAAGGACTGTGGATTTCCTGCATGCCGGAGCAAAAGAAACGGAGCATCCTAAGCAAGTGTGGGAGGTAGCTGAGTCCAGGCTGCCAGGCTGGTGTGAAGGCACTGTTGCTTGGGGTCTTTATCTGGGCATTTTGCATTTCGCACTGTGAAGGAAGATGATATCGTGAGGAAAAGATGGGGTCATCTGGGTGCTCTGGAAGGCTCAGGTTCTAGTGGGTGACTGAAGTGGGTCCGAATCACACATAGGAATCCAAAAGAGGGTCACTTGGGGCAAAGGGGGCTAGGTCCCCAGCCAAAGGGTAGGTCTGGAGGCCTCTGTAGAACCTGAGGACCCCCAGCTGCTTGGGCATCCAGACTCACAGGGATGCTGGCTCTGAGACTGGGAGGGAGTGACCATCTTCACCTGCTGGGTGTTCCCACAGCCTACAAAGAGAAAATGAAGGAGCTCCCGCTGGTGTCCTTGTTCTGCTCCTGTTTCCTGGCCGATCCCCTGAATAAGTCATCCTATAAATACGAAGGTAAGTGAGGGCTGCAGTTGGGAGAGTAATGGGTGCAGAGTTCTTGTGGCTTGTATTCATGAGTACAGCACCCCCCGCCTCAATTTTCTGACCGTCTCCTCCTCACATCACCTGTCCCCTCCCAGAGCCAGTAAAATCACTGCAGCTGATTCCAAGGGCCTAGGCACCCTGTGAAGGCAGGCATGGGGCTGGGGCCTGGGGAAGTAAGCAGCAGTGGGGGGTCTGAATCAGACCCCCTGCAGAGTGCTCTTGATCATAGCTTTTGTCCATTCACTTAACAAATGGATGCCGTGGAAGATGGCGAAGTGAAGCAGAGTTTATGCCCTCAGGAAACACCTAGACTAGAAGAGGAGACAAGACGGGTATAAATCGCTAGGTTCCATGGTCACCAAGTCTCCTCAGCAAAAGGTAGACAATGCTCTGGGAGATTCCAGAGGTGGGAAGATGACTTCCACCTGCAGCCACCCAAGGAAGCTCTGTGATAGCCATGCTGACAGGTTCCCAGGACTCCATGTCCCAGGATGCTAGCAGGGAGCACTGAATGGCCACGTCCTGATTAGGGGTGGTTGGGGCAGAGGCCACCTCTTAATTTCCTGGGGGTTCAAAGGAAGGGACGGGTTTGGTCTGGAAATGAGAGCTGGAGGTGCTCCGGTTACCTGAGATTGTTTTTCTCTGTTGTTTAGGCTGGTGTGGGAGACAGTGTAGGAGAAAAGATGAAAGCCAGCGGAAAGACAGTGCTGACTGGAGAGAAAGAAGAGAGCAGGGTAGGAGGGAGAGGGGGAGAGGCATCAACAGGCTGAGCCATCAGATTGGTAGCGGGAAGAGGAGTGGACGGGTGGTGGGTGGTGGGTAGATGTACCACTCTTGCCCACCATAGATGACAACTAGAGCAAGAGCTCAACGATGAGAGGACCCTTGTGGCAGAAGCAAAAGCAAAAGCATGATTAGAAAACACATATCCTGGGACCCTAACCTGGGAACCCGAGACCTCCCTGTGGCTACCGACTCCTCTAGCCCCATCAGAGCCCATTGACCTGTGTCACGGTCAGGACAGACCCAGAACCCTGGTCATTGGTTTGCCTTGGGGACCCCAGTTTGCCTGGGTATGTGTGCATGCTTTATGGGTGCCCATGCAGTCTTCAGGGGGTGAGCAGCCCCTTTTCTGCTCTTTTCTGCAGCAGACACAGTGGACCTGAACTGGTGTGTAATTTCTGACATGGAAGTCATTGAGCTGAACAAATGCACCTCAGGCCAGTCCTTTGAAGTCATCCTGAAGCCGCCTTCCTTCGATGGGGTGCCCGAGTTCAATGCCTCCCTACCCAGACGGCGAGACCCATCACTGGAAGAGATACAGAAGAAGCTAGAAGCAGCTGAGGAGCGAAGGAAGGTAAGTGCTGTCCTTGCTTCTTTCCATTTCAGCAGGATGGGGAGGGAGCTGGGGAAGACAGGTGGTGGCCCTGAGCCGATAAGGTTACCACCAACCTACAAATATTTAAACAGGATCTCCCATGTGCAAGGCAGAGAATTGAGGCACCACTGAGAGAAACAAAGAAGTAAAAGTCCCTCATCTCTAGGAGCTTACAGTTTGGTTAGGAGGATAAGGCACTGCATTACATACCTCCAAGAGGTGGCCTTATATGCATGGTGACAAGAGCAAGACATAGACAAGCACTGAAGATTTAAGGAAAGTTTAGATAATTAAGAGGGCTCCTTAATCGGGGAGGGGGAAGAAGGTCATAGTGTGGTATCCTTCCAGCCCCTGGCGTGCCTGCCATGTTTCCTATTGATTCTTCTTTTTTTTTTTTTAAGATTTTTTTTTATTGGGAAACTGGGGGGATGGGAACAGTGCTGGGGAATTGGGGGAAGGGGAACAGACAAGTTGCTGTCGTTTTGTTCTTCAGTCTAGTTG